ATGTGAAATCCAGCTTCTTCTGGTGAATGACACTCCTGGTTTGTGGCCAAACATCAAAATGTCTCTGGAGCAGGGACGTCGCAGACCTCTTGAAATAAAAGTCTATTTAAACATTCCAAGTGCCTCTTTTCTGTCCCTCTGCAAAATTTATGTAAAGTGACTGCTTTCTCTATTACTCCAGTTAGGAGCTGTCTTTTTCCAGTTGTGTTCCATTAACCCACAACTAGTCCTGTCATTAGGCAGAAGGAAATAGGCTCTTTGGTTCTCCATTTCTTCCTTCAATCGTTTGTAGTTATGTTTTCTGTACACCCCACTCTTTTGTTTGGGTCCTAAGGCACACAACGTTCTGAAGAGGCTACCACCCTCTATTTCATTACTCCAATGAACCCCCTTAAGTGCACATAGAATGGCCCCTGCCAGGGTGAGTGATGGGAGGTGCTGTAGGCACAAGATAACATGGAAGGGAATGGCAGATTCTGCTTCAGTGATGGGTCATTTTGGCCATCGGCTCATAAAGCAGCTTTTTCTAGCTTAGTAAACCAAGACACCCTGAATTTGAACTTCTAGACTTCTCAACCAGCATTCTGGGAATTTATACTCCTGACATACCGAGAAGGCATTAAATTAGGGAAGGCTAATCCTAAACTCTGCCAGTTTAGAGCTCATCAAGCCCATTATGATCCAAGATCTAGGTGTTTTTTTTCCCTGTTGTGTGAACGTTTCCAAGAGATGTTTTGGTATTAACATCTCAGAGGTCGTTCAAATACGATTATAGGAAACACCTATTTCATAGTATGTGGGGGGAAAAGACTATTCCTTTAAACCTACAATTTTCTTCTGCTCTAGCAAAAAACCCAGTTGAACAGAAAGGGAAGTCAATTTCTTCAAATTTCATTTTTGATCACTTTTTTCCACAAATGGGAAGGTTGCCAGCAAAAGCTGCCCTGCTGGCTTTCCAAAGTCCTCGTGAGATCATGCCGCTGCTCAGTTTGCAGTAGTTTCCCCTTCCCTCCTTTCATTTTGTGTGGAAAAGTTCTGACCTCTGTCCCATCATTTCCTGCCCAGATGGGGCCAGTCAACATTCTGACAAAAAAGGGTGGAGCAGATAGAGACTAGAACTCTTGGGACATTAAAGAACTTACTGAGGTTTTTTCCCCCCTCATGAGAAACATTTACATTTCATTCACTAACTAGTTGGAGCTTGTTTTGCAGATGCTCTGGCCCTAAAATACCTGTCTAGATTTTATTGACCTCTTGGAAATGTCCACAATTGAAAAAGTAATAGTTACAAGTCTGTCCCAAAATCTTTTGGAAGCATGCTGATAATTATGCTCTAGAAATAATCTATTTCAAACAAGCCTGTTGTATTAGCCTGATAAATACATCATAACAAGAATTCCATAGAAGCCAATTGTATCATTACTTCTCCCATTCTGCCAAAAGGTACAAGTATAGGTTTGTAAGAAGGAGGTACCAAATGCAGTAAGAATTGTATGATACAGAACAGTAATTCCAGTTGGATTCATAATTAGGTAGAAGCGAATCTCATAAAAGAAGCAGTCTTTCTACCCCCACAATTAGACAAACTGGGCACAGGATTGAAATACTGTAAGCAAATAGTGGGTGGTTACCAACCCTTTTTTTCTGAAGAGAGGGC